CGAATTTAAATTCTCTTATTCGGGAATTTTCCGTCGATATTAAATATTCTCTCTTAGGTACTCAGATTTACATGAAAAATACATCGCAAATAAACATTAAAAATATAAAACCATTTATAATTTACATCATATAAAAATCCTAAATCTAGCGCAATTTTACTAACTTCGCAACGCTGGAATAACAAAAATTAAATAAAGGGACATTGAGGCAACACTGCATTTATAAAAAAATCCTTAATACAAGGAAATTTGAAGGGTGAAAACGCTATGAAAACATTCGTATAGAGTTAAATAACCAAGAAATTTAACTTTCATATATGGAAGCTTATTCGAATATCGGGAGATATTAATCCGGTTCGATGAGCCGAATCGGATGCAACTTCCGATATTACGTGTCAATATAATCACGGCGCAGTGGAAACGAGTCGAAATTGCCATCAGGAAGTAACTAAATAGTTTCCAAGTTTATACTCGATTCCCGGCCCAAACAAAATTAAATTACCAAGTTATATCAAATTCCCCCGACGGACTGTTTTATGCGCAAAAAAAACCGGATCGAATAATGGAAATCATCGATTCATTTGCTACCACCCTTTCCAGGAAACTGCTCCAGATTTCTGTTTGTTTCAATTCTCATTATCCCTCCTCTTGTACTAATTACGATAGACTTGTAATAATCGTTGAAAAAATATAGTAAGCGACTCGTACAGAATTTTATTATATCTAACGAGTAATTGTGTTTTATAATAATAATTACACGCTGTGCACGAGATACTATAGTAAAAACAGGAAAGGTGAAGGCTCGTTCGACGGAGATGTGGCGTTGAATTTTAATTAGCCGTGTATAGGGTAATTAACCGGGCGTCGCGGCGCCGACGACGAACGACGCCCGTTGTAGGGACGAACACGTGTTCCGTTATGATTATTATTGTTTCGAGAGGCGACAAAAATTTTTGAGATAATTTCTAGGAAAAATTAAAACGGAAAGGGAATAAATTGCCGTTAAAGGCGCGCGCGGGCCTTTTAATTAACTAAGAACAAAGGGCTCTTCATTGTACAGCTTTATCATGTTCCTTGTTTTTATACAACTACGCTTATTTACACTCAATTATGGCGGAATCCACGTTGAGATGCCAGTTTTTCTGTGCGAATTTGGTTGAACAGTACAAAGAAATGAGGCAATTATTGAAAAATAGGAGGTATAAAGCTGGAAATGACTGAATAGTCATACTAGGTGAGGCCAATAATTCCAGAAGATGTAGCAGAATAATGCTGGAATTGGCAGAATAATCTAATCAGCTGATACTAATAATTCCAAAAGTCGAAGTAGTAGAACAAAGCTGTAATTGGCTGAATGGTGCAAGTAACTGAGGCCAATAATTCCGAAAGAAGAGGAATCGGCAGTTTTGTACTTATCTGTAATGTCTACAAACAAATAGAAGCGAAATTGCGAAATCATGTAAAACATGCGCCGGATAAAAGAATTAATGCGGGAGAATAATATCAGATGCCAAAGGATGAGGATTAGCGGCGGGAAGTAAAAAGGAAAACGCAATAAAGTTTCGGTGCACACGCAGTTAGGGAAAAGAGTTATGGCGGTATTAGGGAAAATTTTCAATATGTACTGAAGAAATATATATCGTTTTTCATCGCATCTGCGTTTACACTCTATAAAATATTATAGGAAATAAATTACGCTGTGTACGGTTATGCGAAATATAACTTTGAATTGTCAATAAATAATGGCTTTTTGGGATTGTTTTCGAGCGAAAAAATGAAAAAAAAAAGATTCGAACGGGCGAAATTCGGTGAGAGTTTCGAATGATGAATCGTCGCTTTCGATTGAAATGCCTATTACACGGAAATTGGATAGTTTTTTTCGTATTGTACAGAGTGTTTCGCATAAGAAACACTCGCACAATATAAAGGAGACTTGTGTATGAAGATTTTACTCACTTTATACTGCATTATTATGAAGTAAAGGGTCTTTGAAAAGCAGGGTTTTTGCTTAATAGTGAGTTAGATTCCAGAGATCTTTATCGATGGATTTATGGATTTCCAGATTCTACTTTACAGGCCTTTAACTTCTCAGGCAATCCATCTCGCTATAAAACTAAGTTGTATTGAATCAACCTGTTTTACCTACTTTAAAAACATAAATATTACACGCCCCAAAAACACTACTTTTCGGTACATTCTACATGTATATTCGTCAAAGGATATATGCCGAGAATTTCATTAGAGGCCGCTCATTAAGCGTCGCTCATTAAGCCGGTAATATATGCTCCTTCTGGTTCCCGAAGTACTCGCTCCAGCCATCTCCCAGGAGCGATATCTCGCTGACATGTAATAAATCTTTTAACGTTCCGCCCGGGATTAGATTGAACGTCGGCATTATTAATTTCGTTATTATTGCACCCTCCGAATTAAGATCCAATTCCCGCGCATAACTAGTACTATATACAGGGTGTTAATTAATTCAGTGCCGATACTCCAGGATGTAATTATTTTGTCTTAAAACCCCCGGATTGGTAAAAAACATTCTAGCCAATTTTTGGGTGGATGTTATTAAAAAAACCGCGGGTAATTTGAGGTACATTTCAATTCGCATTTCTTATTCGAAACTGTTGAATGCGGCTCGGTAATGGGTTTTTAATGAATACTAAATTAATTTCTATACGGAACTGTTAAATGTCTGTGCAAGTTTACCAGCGCTTTAATTAAAGCCGCTTCAAACCCGCTCGATTGCAGAGCAAATAAAGTCGCACTTTAAAAGTTATCTAATTAAAAAAAAAATTAACTAAATACTGTCGCGAAATTTTCCAAAAAAAAATAAAAATTCGCCGCGGCCCGGGAGATAAAATAAGTGTAATTCCGCGCGGCCCGGCCGTAAATAACCCGCTCTTACGGTCAGAATTTTATTAATAAAAGGGCGATGTAGTGCGAGATCTGCGGATATCGCACGAAGGAAGCGTTCCCGGCTTTACGATCCAATTTATTACGCAGCTGTTACGAATAGAAGGTACATAACTGTAAGTTACCATCCCGCGGGAGACGCGCTGCCTGTATATCCCCAGGTTAAATGAAAAATAAACCGGGATATATTATTTAACTCCATGTAGGTAATCGAAATGAAAACAAATAATACCATTAATCGAGCGTAATGTATACAATTAAATTGTACAGAGTGTCCCAATTTCGCACAATCATTTGCAGGTATACAGCGCTATAGATTTAGAATTCTACTACATCACCCCGTATATTGCTATATATTTCAACATTTTATTATAAGTACTATGGAGATATTATTTTTTGTAAGTCGTATGAGAATTAACTGTGATCCAATATCTGCAATGTTCGGTGCCAGGTAGAATTTATGGCAAAACTGGAAGTCTGGAGAAAAATGCAGGTGCGAAATAAAAATCCGTTTTCCGCGTTTGTTTCGCTCCTGGGAAGCGCTTCAAAACATGTCACGCGATGTGGAAACTTAGGGAAATACAGGGTAATTCATATAAGTATATTTAGAACGGTTTAGAACGCTCCAGAATCATTTAAAACAATGTAGAACCATTTAGAACGCTTCCAAACCATTTAGAAAGCCCCAGAATGATTTAGAACTGTGTAGAACTGTTTAGAGCGCTCCAGAATGATTTAAAACAATCTAGAACCATTTAGAACGCTCCAGAACTAATTAAAACTGCTAGAACTGTTTAGAACGTTCCAGAATCATCCCCAGCTCCAGGCCAACATGAGTGGAGTATGTATGTTGATATTAAAATACAACAAATGTATCAATGAGATTCCAAAGAAATCACCCTGCATAAAGGGCATGTTGTGACTCTATCTTGATACTCCTGATACTCCAATTCCGCGTTTATCATACTAGGCGTAATGGGGAACATCTGGCCCGGTTATTTTCTCGCTCGTTGAATAAAATAGTACTAAAAAGAGAGTCGAGTGAGAGATCCAGGAACGAGGCGAGAGGCGTCTTTTCCACTAAAAGCGCCGGTGAATTTGCAACGATTAATCTTCGCGGCAAATATTTGAATAAGGAAAGATGCTAATGGCGATTTCCGACACGTAATTCGATTTAAGAACTTAAAATTTACAAACTATAGTCTATGAAGAGAGTGGAGTTTTTAAGCTTGAGGAAGCTTCATTTTTTATGCAGGGTGTTTCATAAAGAACGGTTAATCAACAGTCTAGAAACATTTAGAACGCTCTAGAATCACTTACACAACTATCTATAACAATCTACAACGGTTCAAAACCATTTAGAACTGTCCAGAACCATTTCGAACACTCCAGAATGATTTAGAACTATCTAGAGCGATTTAGAACGCTCCAGGATCCTTTAGAACCGTCTCAATCATTGCTCTGAATCATTTAGATACATCTAGTTCTGAACTATAGTTTGGGCCACCCTGTATACAACGTAGATATTTGTCTGTCGTGGAAAGATATAAAAAAGCCGACGTTTCGAATTTTTCATTCCCCGCAATAATCCTTTGCTTCTTACAAGCTATATATATTTTTTTTGTTCCAGAGATATTCCAGAGATATATGATCCTCTTTCGGACCGCCATTATACCGACGAGGATCGGTCAGGACTCGGAAAACATTTTCGAAAACGATATGGGGATAAAGATTTCGTTAGTTCGGATTGTCGCGCCATAACGAGCTCGAATATTTCATACTTTGCGTTTCGTTAAGTTCGGAATAAATCGCGATTGTGCTTGGGATTCCCCTATTTTATATATAAGAGCTCGTATTTTTGCAATTAATTTACTTGTAGATTGCTTAGTAAATAAAATCGAAAAAATGAGAAGATTTATTTATTGTGACGTTTGTTGCACCAACAAGTTTTATTCCTGAGAATTGAAATCCTGAGAAGTAAAAGGGCGAGTGTGAAATTTTGATCTGCACATTAAAAACGATGAATTTATCGTTTTTGAAAGTTTAGGGAACGTAAATAAAGGTATTTCGAATCCGGTACTGACCTTATTGTCCTTTTGCCAGGAACAGGATCCCCTTTTGTTGAACACTTTGCACGCCAGAAGAGCATCCTGCCCGGGATTGACTTCCGTATACGTGGGTTGTTGTTCAAATCGTTGAACAGCCGCCGAATCTGCAACGAAAACAAAATAAACAATCCAATTTCAGAAGCAATAACACACAAGCCTCGGAAGCCGCTGGAATTTTCGAAAACGGGGTTATATCCATACACTTTTAACTCTTGTTTAATTCAATTTAGAGCCGCCTCGGCGCCCGGCCCCTCCGCCCTATCTCCAGTCATTTACATATTCAAACAAATCTGGAAAATTCGTCGGTATCGGTAAAACCCGGGAGTGCTCCGGGAGTTCGTAAATTTATATTCAAGAAAAACAGAAGCGAGAGGAAGCGTCTTCCGGGGCGAATTTCAGCCGGGGATTTACACGTTCGGGCGCATGTTAAAAGCTTCGCCCTGCTGATCTTCTCCCGGGGATTAACACCGGGTAAATACCATTGTAAAACGAGCCGGAGATGCCATCTTGGATTCACCATATTTAGAAATGTCACAAACTGTCATTGTCACAAACTGTCATAGTCACAAATTGTCAATGTCACAAACTGTAAAATAGAGGGAATACATTTTCTAGAGTACATTTGGGATCGGTTTTTAAATGGAGGTAATCAGTGGGTTTTCCTGTGTGCATTTCTCAAAAATTACGTGGAAAATTTTCTAAATTACGGCGGAAAATGCGGCATTAATATGCCGGTCGCGGAGTGTCTTTTATACACGGGATGCCGCCGTTAATGTAAAGAATACATTGGAAAAGGTTTTTACCGGAAAATAATGTATGGTTTAATCTGAAAGCGGGACAGAGACAATGCATATAGGAAATTTAAGAAGTGAATTTTCCTCGAAAATAGAGGGAAAATCGCTGCAGGGAATGGTGTATGTTCGGAAATAACGAGATGTTGGAAAATTTAGTTACTTTCAGAATTATTCAGGGTAATTTGGAACGATATCAGAGTGGTTTAGAACTGTTCAGAACAAGTTAGTTCTTTTCATAACGATTCAGAATGATTCAAAATACTTTGTAACAGTTTCAGAATGGTTTAGAACTTTAGATATTGTCAGAATGATTCTGTACGACTCCGAATACTTTGGAACATTTTCCAAATTTTTTGAGGAAAATTAAATAGGAACATAAATAGCACATAGCACAAAATCTACTAGTAATGTTTATCACAATCGAAAAAATCTGAATTTCTCGAAAAATTCTGTTTTCAAAAAATGCCTGGAATATTTCACACTTACATTTCCTCGTAAAGAATAATTCATCATCTCGACATACCAACTAATACCCGTCATATTTTCTCTTTATCCGCAAAAATACCCGAACAAAAAAAATTAAAACATCGTTTCACATCTCCATTATTTTTTCGATAATTAAAGCCAATTAAAAACGAACTCGAATAAAAAAAACAAAAGGCAAAGACAGAAAGAAAACAACACACAACTAATTAAATATCTCGACCCGGAGAAGCCTAAAACGTTTCCATTTATTAATTAACCAACGCAAGATACACCTTTCCAGAAATTTCTTTCTCCTCGGAACATCCCGAGAACTCCTTAAATTATAAACGAAAAAGTTTCCATAAAAATATTCCCTGGAAAAACTCGGGGCCTTGTTAGTGCCTTTTCGACATCCTGTTTACCCTTATATTTACTTATATTGTGTACAAAGTTTTAGCGCAATCTCGGGGGACCCTACGTCTTTTACTTTTTTTTACACACACGTTCGCTTTGAATATTCGGGAAATATTTTCCCTAACAAATCGGAATCCCAACCATACCAGAGCGGTTCTAAATGGTAAAAGGTTCAGAATGATTCGGAATAATATACTTCGGTACCCTTCATAATGATTCCAAATATTTTAGAACAGTTCCAGAACTGGTTCGGTGTCTCAATTAGAATATTTACCGAACATTTTTCTCATAAAAGAGAGGAATTTGCACCTCTTTGTGGCCGCTTCAAAGGCATTTTCCTCGCTAATATCCGCGCTAAGGGGTAATATCTGTACCGGCACGGGCGAATTAGCAATCATAAAAGCGAAATGGAAAAGTTTTTCGCGATAATTCCCGGGCCATACAAAAAACCGAAATCGAGGAAATTACAGCCCGAATTATTCCAGATTGTAGGTGTACCGTTGGCGGAGTTAAACGCCCCGCACTTTGCGGGAAAATCCGCGCGCGGTTTTTCCCCACTTCCCATTGTATTCGGTTTTTCCGGCCCGAACATTCCGCGGTATTCACCCGGATTTCTTTATTCCGCCGAATGTCAATTAATCTGACCACCGCAGGGATGTTTTTCTACCACGCGAAATACGGGGATCGTCGGAAAAATACTCTTGACATTTTTTTTTCTATCCCATCTGTCTTCCTATCTCTTCTCTCGAGGCATTAAATTTTTCATGTTTCCTCGCGTCGCCTATTTTTACGGCCGCGGCGCCCGGAAAATTCCGTTATCGGTAACGGCGCGGTTTATGCGAGAGATATACTTCGATTTTTCCCATAAGGATTTTGATTTGCGATGGCCCCGAAACGATCGCACACGCGATAAGAAAATTCACAAAGATGGCGCTGCTGTTAGAGCAAATATTGGAAAATCGCTACATAAACTAAACGAGCGAAATTCCGCCGCCTGCTGGCGCGTAGCGTAGAATCTCCGCGAGCTACGATAATGTATGTGCGTCAATTGATAGATAGATATTCAGAAGTGGGACGATTCGATGTAAACATCGTTAAATTCAACAGTCTTTGACACGGGACGCCGTGCGATGGGCGCCTTTTTATTAGCGCAAAGTGAAGGAGTAACAGAGGGAATTGTTACCGACGTACTTTCGAGATGTTCCGTTGAAAAGGAAATTCGCCCGCTTTTCCACGTCGAACTGATATGGCGCATCGGAAAATATTTGACGCGGGATTTGTACTTTCGTTGCCGGCGCTTTGAGAAAACCGACAGTTGAAAAACCGTTTCGGGATCGCGAGATGTTTGCCGGGCGGAAAAGCTCCGGCTCGCATGCTGATGGATTCCATCGATTTTCGGCGGGGCTCTGTTCGCTCTAATTGCTCCAAATGGCGCGATGATAACTGTTTGTTTAGTATTCCTTTTGCACTTTTTGGGGAGCTAATAAAAACGATTTAATTAACTAGATCGCGTTGTTAATGAATTCGCTGCTGTTGACTGACTGATTCGGTGATTGGAGGTTTTTATTTTTTCATCGTTTTTGATGTAGGAATCGTGAGTTTCATGGAAATGATAACGCTAGATCTGAAACACCCGGATTTCTTCAGTTTTTCCCATATTTCTCGAAAACGGCTCGGACAATTTTCTTCAAAATTGCTCGACATATTCTTTAAAATCTCCTCTAACATCCACCACAAACCGCACGTCCACTAAAACTCTTTGAAAAAAGTTATTGGAAAATTAAATAGTGCCGTTTATGGATTAAATTGGGGTATTAGACAGGGCATTAAATTCCCATTAACAAACGCATATCTAACGGTGCTGTTGATGACCAATCAATGCGCGTTTTGTATGGAAAATCTGGCTCTATCTTGGCGAACGCACATGCACAAACGGGTTGCACGAACGATTTTCCGTCTAATGACTCGTTATCTGCGATTCGAACTGCAATATTATCGAACCGGCGCGCGCTCGTTAGCCGGTTAATTAGCGCACTACGATTAATTTGGAAAATTAAAAATAATCCCTTTCTTTATTAACTATATATACCGATTTCGTTTTCTCCTTGCGCACTAAGCTTTCTACAATTAGAAAACTTTTCTAATTATCATACTTTCCCGGAGGAAGGGGGCAGGGCGGGGGCAGAGAGAGGGCCTGCCCCGCAAGTCCAATTAACGGAATGAAAGCGACGATCGAAAGACCCGAATTTTCGCGGAGTTTTCCGCCGCTTCCCCAAACGAACCCTCACAATCAAATTTCCGATAAACTTTATAATATTTATACGGACATTTTTGAGCTTTCCAAATTCGAATTAATTCCACGTGCATCGAGCTTCCTTGAAAAAAAAAACCTTCGTCATATTGTTTCATCGTCATCATCTTATTCATCTTTGGAGTCATCTTATTTATTATATTATACATCACCTCTAGGCATCAGGATGAATTAGAATACTTGGGGACAATTTAGGAAGCTTCAAGACGAATTAGAACTGTCCAGGATAATATGAAACGCAGCAGGATGAATAATTATAACTCTATAAAACAATTTAGAAGACTACAGTATTGCAACTGTACATCATCTTCGTCATCTTATCCATCATCTTAGCCATCATCTTATTCATCTTTATCTTTTGCGTCATCTTATTTATTATATTATACATCACCTCTAGGCATCAGGATGAATTAGAACACTTCAGGACAATTTAAAAAGCTACAGGACGAATTAGAACTGTCCAGGATAATATGAAACGCATCAGGATGAATAATTATAACTATCAAGAATAATTTAGAAGCCTATAGTATTGCAACTGTACATCATCTTATTCATCACCTTGTTTACCCAACATTCCCTCGGAATCTGAGTAGCTCCATTCGCTTTTCATTCGCTTTTTCCATCCGAAGGATTTTAGAGAAAAGGGGTGAAATAATTCGGCATCCGGCTCACTCCGAATTCCTCGGGATCGCAATTTCTGCGTTGCCGCGCCGATAATAGATCACAGTTGATCTTGCGGTCGGCCGCCGACGACCCTTCGGCGCGCCTTTCCGTTCCCTGGGAAATTTGAAATATCTGCAGGTGGCGCACCTGGAATGTGCACGTTCGCAACGGCTTCGCTCAAAGACAAATAGACGGGTTACATGTACCTGTATATATCCGTATCGATTGCTTCGTTCAATTGCTAATGAACGACGATATAGATATATACCAAGCCGTGGCGATTCCGATGCTGGGATAATATTGTTTTCATGAAAGATGGATTAGCAGCCAGATGGAAAATTCCCGAAGGTGGTTTCGTACATGTCGCTTATCGTAAAATTAATGATGATACCCGCAACTCTAACAAACTCAATAGTATAAGTAATGGTGGAAAAACCTCATTTACAGTTAGAAAACCGCGCTTTACATAATAAACTCCCGAGCAGTCGATTTTCCCGTTTCCGTTCCTGCACGTACGACGGCGTAAAAAATCCAGGCCGTAACCGAGAGAAGGAAAAAAACTGGAGAAAACTGGAGAAAACCGAGCGTCGGGTAGTCAGTCAGCGGGCGCAAAGACAAATGGGCGGCCCGGCGTCGAATCCTGATGAGGCATGTGCCCCCTTAAGCCGGAGCCTTGGGCGATAGAGGGCACATTTCCAGGTGCATTATAAGTCATCCTGATGGATTCGCTACGTACGAGCGAAGCCCTAACGTCTTGATGACGACGCGCGGGGCGGGAGATTTTCCTTTTCTTTCTGCTGAGGTAGGTGTACGTTTACGATGTCACGTAGAAATGGAGTTGCCTTGTTAAGGCGATGAGAAACATTGGCGTTCTTTTAAAAGGATTCTGTGTTATATGCAGTAGCTTGTAACTAAATAGATAAATAAGTTTCTAGTCAAATATATGTGTTTTTAAGAGTAACATGTAAAATAACAGAGTCTCTCGGAATAGGCACAGAATGACATTCTTCGCTAAAAACTGTTAACTGTCCAATGGCTCGTTTACAGAGCGACCTTGACTTGACCAGTTTGTAAAATAATACACTCTGCAAGCTTATAATAGGTTCAGAAGAACTAGCAACCTCCTTTGCTAAAAACTAGGTTCAATATCTCGTTCTTCATCTTTCTTTCCTTTATCATCAGCTGCTTCGGCTGTTGGACCTTCCAATAACTCCGTTGACTGAGCGAACTTGACTTGACCATTTTGTGTAATATTATATGCCTCCAGTTCAAGACCTAATGGCCTTCATCGCTAAAGACAATTAGCTACCCAAGGCATCTATCTACAAAGGAATTCAGCGATTTTTCATCTTCCTGTTGACACGAATTGCTCGAGTATTCGTGTTATTGTTCGCATTCGCCGGCAATGAGGATGTTTGTCGCGGTGATATCGCAATTTGCCGCGCGTTTCGACGAAACCGGAATGCATTCGGCGACTTCCAGAGATCGATAACGCCGAATTTCGATCGAAAAAAAAAAAACTCGAATGTACAATATGACAAGCATCGGATCGCGGCTATAACGTCGAATAAAATTCGCGTTAGAATTTTGTTTATCTTTTATCCGGAGTAGGAAAAAATCGATTGACGAAAACACGATGACACATCGAAATCCGGGAATTTCGTTTTCGAAGTAAAATAACAAAATTTCATCGAAATGAGGAATAATAGAGTTAATTTAAAAAACAACAAAATTATTGTAATAATTCGCTCAAATTGCACCCTTAATTAATACATCTTTAAATTCATATTAGTAACTGCGTGACTGTTACTAATAACGAGCAATCTATTAATATTAAACAGACCATACAAATTGGCTCGTTAACACACACAGACACACACAACAAATCTATCGCATTCCCTGATAAATATCTAAATATCTGGGGCTGGGTCGAAAGGGGAACCATCCCCATTAGTGTTTATTACGGAGAATCATTCCAATTATGCTCCCGAACAAACGGAATTAGTCAAAAACCGAGGGAAATAACGCTAGAGACACATGGCATGTCGGGTGACCATTTATTTTACGCGGAGAAAATTCCCCCGGAAGGAAGGGCCATGCAAGGACTCGCTCTATATAGTAAGCTCTATACTATTCTAGGCGGAATCACCTTTTGTCCTTTGTAAGTCGGCTGGGCGCGGAGGAAAACGTATACAGCTGGTCGTAGTTGGCCGGATTTTCTAATCTCCTGACGTTTATTAATGATCTTTGGGTCAAGTCGGAAAATTAAATTGTCCGAGATTTTGCGCTGATGTAGTGGGCGAGTGTTTTAAACGCCGCAAAAAAAAGCCGGGCGGTTTCTAATGGAAATTGATCGTTTCGGGCTTGAAAATCGAGCAAAAGTTTGGTGGCAACTAATGTGAAAATAAAAACCAATTTATCAATAAAATCTTTAAGGGTATCTATCTATGTACAAAGGAATTCAGCCAGTTTTCCTGGCACTTTTCAAAAATAGTTATAATCAAATTCGCGAGTGCTATTAACTAAGTGATTGAATATTTATTATCCAAAAACTCACTCCAACAAATCTTCAAAAAAAATCAACTCTCGTGTACATTATACTTTCGATATACTTCCCAACGTTTACTCATTTAACTGTACGAGTTTAACCTAATTTCACAAATTCCATCAAAAATTCGAAACATCCCAAATAACTAACGACAAAACTATTCGCTGAAAAATGCGCTATTATTGCATCGCTAATGCTCTGCTCTGTTATTGCACCTCGATTCGCCTATAAAACGCCAGCCGGCCGGTTCGGAAGGCATCAGTCTCCGATCGTGCTTTCGATCAGAACCACCAGCCCAAAAGAAGATCATCATGTTACCGTCGAGCCGCATGCCCAAGTTCGTCGCGTTCCTGCTCGTCGTGGCAGCGTCGCTCGACGACGCCTCCGCCGTGGATTCCAAGTACTCCTTGGAAACCAAGTACATGAAAGTGCCGTTGGACCACTTCAAGTGGTACGCCGAAGAGAAATCGTTCAACCTGCGGTACCTCGTGGACGCCAAGCACCACGTCCAGGGCGGGCCGATATTCGTCTTCACCGGCGACAAGGGCGACATCAACATCTACGCCCAGAACACCGGCTTTATGTTCGATATCGCGCCCATGTTCAAAGCGCTCCTGGTGTTCATCGAGCACCGTTACTACGGACAATCGTTGCCCTTCGGCAACGACACCTTCTCGAATCCCCAAAACATGATGTAAGTATCTCATACAATACCTAGATCCACAGTAATTATCCCACTTTAGACTCCAAAAACATTCTTCTGTAGAGGGCATGTTGTTTGCTCCACTACTTTCGAGTCGCCGTAAATGTTTTCCAACATAAACGATAATTTTTTTCCGTTTAAGTTATCTAACGACAACACAAGCTTTGGCTGATTTCGCTTTCGTCATCGACCAATTGAAGAGGGAGTTCTTCGAGAACGTCGTCCAATACGATACGTACCCGATCGTCGCGTTCGGCAGCTCCTACGGCGGTATGCTGGCCGCCTGGTTGCGAATGAAGTACCCCTACACCGTACTGGGCGCCATCTCGTCGTCGGCGCCGATGTTCTACTTCCCGGGCCTCAGCAGCTGCGCCACCTTCTACGAGAAAGTCACCAAAGTGTTCGAACGGTACGGTCGCGACCAGTGCATCAAGACCATCAAGCTCGGCTGGGACGTCATCATCAATTTGACTAAAAACAAATTAGGTGAGGCGGTATCTGGAGAACGGTTCTGGATAAGTTGATTTCCATGTGTATGTATTTAGGTATGGACTTCGTATCGTCGAATTGGAAGCTGTGCTCTAAGATATCGACGACCGACGACGTGGAGAAGCTGTTGGAATGGTTGAGCGACATCTACGTGAATTTGGCACTAAGCAACTACCACTACCCGACCGATTTCTACAGTCCTTTGCCGGCCTATCCGGTGAAAGTGTTCTGCGACAAGCTAACCACCTCCTACTTCAACGACACCAAAGGACTGATCGAACATTTCGGCTACGCCATCGAAATGTATACGAACTACACGGGCAGGACGGCCTGCAACGACATCAACTCCAAATACCACGACATCACCGAGTTCGCCTTCGGCTACCAGATGTGCACCGAGCTGATAATGCCCAAGTGCTCCACCGACGCGGACATGTTCATCACGGCGCCCTGGGACTTCGACAAGTTCGCCAAGAAGTGCTACAAGAAGTACGGCACCAGCTCGAGCCGGCCCGATTGGGGCATGCTCATCTACGGCGGCAAGAACTTGAAGTATTTCTCCAACATCGTCTTCAGCAACGGCGAGATGGACCCGTACTCCTGCTGCGGCGTTTCGGCCAACGTGACGTCGTCGGTGATGGCGTTCGATATCATCGATGCTCCGCACCACGTCGATCTCAGAAACGCTGACATGTCGGACAACAATTACATCCAATCGGCCAGGCAGTTCCACATCCTGGCCCTCAGGAAATGGTTGAAATTGGAGTAGAATCGCGCACTTTTCTCCCCGTCACCTCCATTCATCTTACATTCGTATAGGTAGCTTATAAATGGATTTGATTTGTAACTCGAGTTTGTACACTTTGTTTAATCGAAACACAAGTAAAAATCAACAAACTACCGAAATGGATTTGTTTCTTTTATTTAATCTTTCTCTTCATCATTATCTTCTTTTTCTTCTACTTCTTCTTCCTTGTTGAATTAATCGAAAACGTTAAAGAATTCTTTTCATTATATAATCAAGGAACTTTTAATTAACACTCGCTGGGTTCAGGAAAATCTTGGATCTTGTTCGCTGCACGAGCTCGGCTAATCAAAAAGAATTAATAGAAATTTATCCTCTTAATTTCAATAAATGCTTTGCAGTAGAGAGAACAAAAAATTACCTCTTTTATATATAATTTAATGATTTAAAGAGCACGCTTCTCCATTATCTTTTTGAGTACACTTTTCAGGGCAATACTTAGTCGATATCGACCATCAGGAGCATTTACAGCAGGCCGGAAAATCGGCAGTAAACACTCCTGCTCGTTTTACAGCGCCCTCTATAATTCATTATCGTTAAATCTTTTCTAACTGCAGGTAATACTCTTGTCATTGTCGGTATTAAGCTACAATTTAATGGGTAGCTCCGAGTACGTTTCGTTTAATCACCGCCCGTAATATACTTGATGATTTCGCTACATTTTCTTTATGACATTACCCGCGCTACCTTGTAATTCTTATATTATAATACTAATAGAATCGATCCATATCTAAACGGAATTTTTTATTATGCAAAGACCTCCAATGGAGCCGATTTCGCTGATGGAACATAAAGCACTTATTCGCCGGTTAAAATTAACAAACTGTTGAATTCCGAACGTAATTACGGGTAAGTAAACTTCGACGAGCACGAGATGGAAAATGACCCCTGAGGGCCGGTAAAAACACAAAGAATCTCGCTGAATTCCCGGTTATTCTTCGGGGCTCGCTCGCATTTCGTGCAAATATGATTCGTAAACCCCTTTTGACGTCCCCTTTGAATCCACCCTTTGATCTACACAAACTCGTACAATAAATAACATAACTACCGTAAATAAAGCGTATGTACGATGTTAATTTTTCACCCTGTATCTACTGTATTTATAAAAACAAATCAAATATAGGAGTCAAATTATGCTATTCATGGAGTAGTAATCTAATTAACTATCAAATTATAAAACTAATGTTCTGTTGTTAACTATCTAACTATTTAAAAATGCTTCTAGTATTCAAGGACTATTTAACTATTTAACTAGCATCTTATTTTTTTTTAATTACGCTTGTAAAGAAACTTAAATTAATCATCCGCTATAAGGTGAGCAGATCTGGCCGAAATGTTCATACTGTTCTAGGAAGTACTATCAACTTAACTATCAAATAATGCTTTTTGTACTCTAGGAATTACAATTAATCTAACTGTCAAATAATGCTCCTAATATTCTAGGAATTACTCAATCTAACTAACAAATAATGTTCCTTGTACTCTGCGAATTACTATCAATCTAGCTATCAAAGAATGTTCCTTGCACTATACGAATTTACTATCAATCTAACTATCAACTGATGATATTCTGTAATTAACTATCTAACTATTTTAACATCCTAAATTGATGGAAAAATAACGCTTGTAAAGCAACGTGAATTAATCATGTGGCGTTCCGGCAAAGGTGAGCAGATCAGGCCGACATGTTGTAGATATATCAAGGATTTTCGATTAATTCGGCAGAGGTTCTGGCGTGAATTTAATCATCGGGAAGAGGCGCCTCTTCTGCTTTTACCTGACTGGCGAATGCCATACTTGCCGGGTTTCAATATGGGGAATTTCGGAATGTATTGTTAAACCGATATCCCCTTTTCGTTAGTGTCGGCCCGGAATGGAGATATTCCTTTCTCAAATTTTACTTTGTAGCGTACGTCAAAATATTCGGAATCGATAATATTCGAAGGATAATAAAGGATAATAGAGCCGCGAGCGACAGTGACTGACGCAGCGATTGGGGATTGCTTTTTACGCTGGTAATTCGCAAGTTTTGGATGAGGAAAAGTTTGGGGAATCTTTTTTTACATTTGTTTTGGAAATTTCATCTGAACTTTTCTTCTAAAATCCTCCCAAATATTCTACACAAACGAAAAATGCGTTTAACATAAGAGGGATTAGAGGAGAGAAATTGAAACCTTTTTGATTTTTGAAGGAATCAATCTTATCCAATTTAATTACAACCTAAAAATCCCACTTCTGAGAAATCGAGCAAACACTCGAAACAATATGATTCAATTTAAAAATCTCCCCGTCCCCGGCAAGATTCCCGTTTACTGGCAACAAACGAGTCGCTTTTCCGCCTTCTAGCGCGATCCTCATATATTAAAACCGGAGTTTTCCGCCCCGGTTTAAACAAATTCCATTTCTACTTCGCGGCCGCGAAACAGCTTAGTCAAATATTTGCGTGTTGATTCCTCCGCGAAACGGATGGAGAAAACCTTAAAATTATCCGACGCCGATGCCGCGTCGGAATTAAATTTCAGTAATTTGTTTCGAATTACCCGGGTGAAATTGAATATTAAACGGCTATTATTAGTTACACGCGGGAGCGTGTCTGCGTGTCGACGGGCCCGAAGGTGAGGTCGAATTTTTCATCTATTTTTTCACTAGAGGGAGCTTCTGTAATTTTATAACATTTTATTGGTGCATTATTCCCAAATCAACTCTTTAGAATTGTTTATTAATGAATCTCTATTAATTCTAAGACTAACTATTCAACTAACTATAGAATTATTATAGGACTATTTCTATCTAACTATAACATAACGCTCATAGTATTCTAGGAATTACTATCAATCTAACTATAAAATTTAATAATGTACCTTTTATTCTAGCAATTGAAACCTAGCTCAATCTAGCTCAATCTATACAAAAATATCTAGTTATAAATTAATCCTAGTAGGTATAGTATAGTAGGTATACTATTTGATAGTAAATTTTGTTGTGCATTGATTATTGCACCTTATTATACACCAAAACACCTAAGGAGGGCCTTAAACAACTCGAAAATCAAAATGTAGGTCAATTATCATCATCTGTTTGTTCCCCGTTCGTTCTCCTTCCCTTTTTCCCTACATAGTTTACACGAGTTCAGCTATCAACTTTACAGTCGACTGCATCGGGAATCTGCAGGCATATTCCCCTTTTTTTTTTCATCGAGAAAAAGTATAATTTCGTTTTCCAATTTCATTAGCTTCTGTCGAATGCTATCCGGCTGATCGTCGGCAGTAAATTCGCCATAAACTTTCGCTCATTGCCCGAAGAATCCGAATTAAAGATAAGGGGAATATCGGCTCTTGGCTCTGATAACTTATTGGTAATTGATAATGCCGCCGTACTATTGGAATAGAGTGCTTGAAATGAGTTTTCGACTTTGATTGTATCGGATAATCTGTGGAATTCGACTCGATCTTGGCGGTTTTTTAGTTGAAATTTTGTAAAAAACGTTCTGAATTGTCCTGAAAGCGTTCTGAACATGAAACTGAAATGGTTCTGGACTTCTCTAGTCGATCTTGGACCGTTACGAATTGACCTGAATCTGTGGTAAATGACAGATTGTAGGTAAATACATATTTTTGGAGAGTTTTAAACGGTTCTAAGATTGTTGTGAACTACTTCAAACAATCCTTGTCAGTGTCTAAATGATACTGGACTATCATAGTCAGTTTTAAATGATTCTGAACAGTTCCAAAACTCCCTTTGTCGAGCCTTCTGAAGCCTCTTTTGCTCGTAAGGAGATCCAGCTAGCTTCGATTCTAGTTCATGCTACTTCTAGCCAATTTATGCCAGTTAAAACGGGTTTTTAAACGGTCGTAAATCGGCGAAAACTCATCGGAAATAAATCAAAGCGAGCGGGATTAAATCGGACGAAAAGATGACGAGAAATAACCGGGCTGCATGGTAATTGAAAATGCCTCGTCGGCTCGAAACTTCCCGATAACTAATGCCCGATACCGATTTAAAGCGGCGACGTTAATTAGAGGAAAGTTTTCCCTCGACGTTGACGCGCCCCGCGTCATCCATCTAAACGTTAAGATCTAACCCCGGGGTAATTACAGCGCGAAAAAGTACCGAATTTATCGGAAATACTTTTCGGTCGAGCAGACACGACTTACCGTGCGCATTGATGGTTGAGTAGCCAAGCTTTCTAAAATGTTATAGTTCATTCCAAATTGGTCAGCTTTGTTCTGAAGCGCTCTATAATTTTCTAGTTTATTCTGATGCTTTCTAAATTGTTCCATTTCGTTTTGAAGCTCTTTGAATTGTTCTGAAGCATTCCAAATTGCTTTGAATAGTCCTAAGAGCAGACTCAAAGTGGATCCTTAAAACTGTACTACCAAAACAAATCTGGAAACCTACTCTTTAAATACTATCTAAGTTTAAAATAAAAGTTTAAATTCGAGTTACAGTTAAAAGGAAAGCAAGTAATCCCGTGTAAACTCATCACAGCGAAAGGCTCGTTCCGAATCGAGCTCCAGAAGAGATTAAATAAACATTTTTGGTCATCGCGGAGGGGCTTTCAGCTGCACCTCCATTTGCGGCGTTCGAAATAAAAGAGAAGCTCCGGAATAGTGACTGCCGGGCCTAAATGCAAGTGCATCGGGATCTTTTTGATAAAGAAAAATCTCATTTCGCAGCGTCAAAGGTCGCAGTTTCTTTGTCGCGACGCGATTTCGCCCGAGTGCTTTTTGAAAACTTAATGAATTTTTTTTAGCGAAACCGGCCCACCGTTGTTTATTTTTTTCTATAAATATCGAGGATTAAAACGAGATATTAAAAGTCTCGTTAATTTTTTTTCGGGGGGTAATTTGCCCCCTACTGCACAAAGCGATGTCGAGGTAATTGTGTTTTTTAACGTTTTGCACTAGAGAAGTTCATCAAGAGTGCTAAAGGAGAATTTGATAACCTTTCAGAAGAGAGGGATTTTTTTTAATTTAAATTTGCATGAAGGAGCTTATTAAATTCGAGCTTTACGAGCTTTGACGGATTTTCTATTAGGTATCCACTTCGATGTCTCGATAATATAACCCTCTTAATACAAGAATTGAAACATACATCAGGAGCATATACGAGAAACACTAAAAGCTATAGTGAGAACGGGAGGCATTTAGGAAAATCCAAGAAGTTA